ATGTGAAGAGATTAGTTAATGGAGAGTCAGTGACTTGTCTAACACAAGCTAGATACAGAAATGAGAAAACCAGGATCGGATCTGAAGCCAGGCTCCTGATGTAAGGCTCTTGTCACCTATCACATGAACTCTACCCAAGTGCAACCTTTGTGACTCCTAGAGAAGAAGTAAATGTGTTATATCACGAGGCAGATTCTAACACCTTCTCTGTGTTAAAAATATAGAAACAGAATTTCAGAGAAGTTTATTAACTTGGCCAAAATCACAAATCAAGGAGCTGGGAATTTGAACATGGGGTGCCCTGACTCCAGGGTAAGGCACTCTTAGCCAGTGACTCAGTTTCTATATTTTCTGGTTTTGTGGGGGTTACTGAAATTTTTGTTCTAACTTGAAAAAGTAAATGGAAACTTAATGATCAAAATTTGTTTTCTCATTTAATGTATTTTTTTACATTTTTACATTTCTTCTTACAAGTATACAAGAATGCATATTGGTTTTACATCTTTAGGGAGCCTAAACCATGGAGACAATTTGGAAAAGCTTGAGAGGCAAAAACACTTGTACCAACACCATTGCCAGGTTTTGTTGCATTGCAGTTTTAAATCTAAATTATAAAGCTTTCCTGTAAATTGGGTTCATAGGGAAAGTGCTGAGTCATTTTCATTATTGCTTTGATTCTACACAGGGGTATCACAATAATGTTTGAGGAAGTCAAACAGTTACTATTTCTTTTTTTTTCTTTTTTAATTTGCATCTCAGATCGATGAAATTATCAAATCATGTATTGCATCTGTTAAAGTGATTCATGCTTAAGCTCAGATGTTTGAGAGCTTCATCTTCCATCTTCTATCAGGTGATGGGCTGGCAGTTCCAGAAGCCTCCATCATAAAGTCCTATAATTCAGTAGATTCAATAGCATCCTAAGTTTAAAATCACAAGCTTCCTCCAAACTGGTGGTTCTTCAGATCTCACAGCAGCAGCAGCAGCTGAAGTAGCAATAACCATGTCAAAGTCATGAGAATTATAGTAGTTCAGAGAATAACTTACCATGCAGAGAAAAAAATAAAATTACTCTGTACTTAGGTCTCCATTTTCTTTGCAAAGTACTTTTAAAATGAATTTATGCCAAATGGGGCTCAAGCCAAACCTTCTCTCCTTCACAGCTCGCCTTTCCTTAGTTAAAATGTAGACATGATGACAGCACCACCATTTCCATAGCATGGTGGTGAATGGGTCACAAAGATAGCCTTTTATTCCACAAGGAGGGATAGTTCATGCCAGAAGCAGACGGGGTTGAGTTCAGCTGTGAGTGATGGCAGAGTTCTCACTTTCTAATATGAGCTATTGATCCTCATTTAGTCATTTGTTTACAATGCACATGAGGTAACATTTATCTCTGCTTCAATGCCATGGCAGCTGATCCCTTATTATAAACACCTTCTTAGCCCCGATAAAGCTGGAGAGATGGGCAGACCTGGCCACCTACTCCTGACTCAAGGACTTACAACTACCTGTGTGATTAAAGACATGAGCCACTTGGGGAATCAGGAGATGAAGCTTTCAAGTGGTGAGAGGATAAAGAAAGAGATTAGTGATCAAAACCAATTTCAGCCAGTTATACATGATGCGTGCAAGTTCTGAAAATAAATTGATTGCACAAGTAACTGGTTATATCTGTTCCCATCCCATAGCAAGTTAATGAGGTAGATATACATAAAATGTATGCACACTCATGAGTAAAACTCATTACTAAAACAATATCAACATGGCAACCATACAAAATGGAGACTTCAAAATCTCTAAACCTTTGCTTAAACTGCCATGTTAACTTTGTGTTTTAGTTAGTGGCATTGGTAATCGTGCTAGGGTGAGTAAGCAGAAAAGAAAAATACAGAAACATCTATAATAGGGGTGATTTAATGTTGCCTCCCACTCAGCAATTTTAATGCTTCCCAAATCTACAATATTTCTGTTTTCATTCTTACATGAATTTTACTGTGTTTGGGCATTGGTCTTGCTACTTTTCCATCAACTCAATAAGATTGAAAAGGAAAGTGGTTACCCCCCAGGGACCATCCAACCAGTACCTCCAAAAATTTTGAATTGTGTTAGGATCACAGAAAGCATAAAAAATGCCAACAATGGAGAACCAGCAAGGTAGCTAGCAGTCCCTGTATAACCAGCATATATCCACAGAGCTTTCCACGTGGAAACACATTCTGATTGCGTATGGACTAGGTTAGTCAGGACAAATATTTCTGCTGAGGATGTGAAGAAACACTGCCAAATAATTATTACTTGGAAGTAACAAATGCCTTTCAGATCAAGTTGTTTTTTCCTTCGTATGCTATTCCTTCTTTCAAACGTATAGAAGAATAGGTAATTCATTCTGGCACAGTGGAAACATGTGGAAATAAAAGAAGCAACTTTGCATTTTCTCTGTATTGGAATATTAGGTCTATTCTGCAGGAAATCAACTTTCCTGAGAGTAAAGTGTTTTGTTTTTCAGGGAAGGTGAACTTTTCAGCGGCTAGATAGATGTCAAGCAAAGCCATTTCTTAAGTGGGCTCTTTGCAGAAGTGGCTGGCTTCACATTAAGGCAGAGTCAGAGCTAAGTGGCCCATAGGACATTACAACTAAAACATTTCTCATGTGATTGACTGTCCGGAGGAGAGCCTGCCTAAAAACATGACTGTCAAAGGAAGCTACCGACATCCTACTTTCTAACTGAAACAGAACAGGTTTGAACACAACAGGTTCAGGGTCCCAGAGTTATCTTAGCTACCAGATTTTACAGGGTGAGTAGAAAAGAAAACTTTAGTAACATATCCAATTGCGCTGCTATAGTATTTCCACTCACACACTAATTTTGTATTTCTTCAATTCATAGTCTCAACTTTCATCCAAAAGGAGCTATCCCATAATACTTGCTATTTCTCTGTATATTCAGAAATACTATGGGAATAAAAAGAAGTTTACGTACATCCCTGGGAATTTCCAGAAAGCAGGGTTATAGACCCTGAGATCACAAAATGCAAAGATAGCCTTGGAAATAGGAAACAAGACCAGTGATACTAAAAATCTCCTCTGTGACTCAACAGAACCCACTCCTGATCACAACCAGATGCCTACACAGCATCTGGTACTTAGTGGGGCAGCAATGGAGAGCTGGGAGTCACAGTAAGGGAAGTAATAATATTAAGAGCATTATCATCATTACTTTGGATTCTAGATATAAAAACTGGTAATAAAACCTGATTTCTTGCTTTGCTCACATGGATATTACTGAGGTAAGAATGTGCTTTTTTTATATAAATGTACTATGAAGAAAGTTAATAACTCACTTAATTGGAGCCACACTAAGAAGCAGCACATAAGCTTTTTGAGTAGCCTTCTCACGGATATAAAAGGCCAAACTCCCACCTTTTCTCTCAATAGTTTAATATAATTTGTATTATTGTGTTGAAACGTCTTTTTAATTCATTTCCACTCTGTTGGGCCCAAAATTAGGAGATAAGAGAAAAGGCTAATATGGCTTCATTTTTACCTCCATTGTAATTTTGCAGGCTTTTACAAAACGATCAAGCTTTGTGTGTGTGTGTGTGTGTGTGTGTGTGTGTGTGTGTGTGTGTTGTTGTTGTTGTATATTTTGTTTTAAAGTCACCTATTGATGAACATAAAAAGCTGACAATGGCAACTTTAGTTATTTGGTGGTTTCAACTAAGTGGGAATGGCAGATGGGGTGGGAAGCGAGAGGCAAAGCTCATTTCACACAGCAGTGCACAAACTTGAGACGTTCTCCCACCTGAGTCTTTGTCACCTGCAACTGGATAAGAAAAGCCAGAGGGAACGCCATTAACACATGAGGCTGGGCTGGGGATACAGATGCCAGAGCCAGTGACCTTGTGCTAGGGGGTAGACCCCTGGTAGGCTGAGATCTGCACTCATGTTCATGAACCCCCCACCTTCCGACCCCATCAACCCAAATACTTTCTCATACATATAACAACTTCCAAAGACATGACTCCTTTCATAGCATGAAACCCAGGAAAGCCTACAACCTCTCCAAGTGAGTAGAATCAAATTCTGCCTGCATCGATGCATCTGATTTACAGCCCTGCTCACAATTACCTGACAAACCACTTAAACCTGTCATGCTCCAGTTTCTTTTGCAACCCAGAAACACAGTAATGTTCAAAATCTTCCTCGTGGGATTATTGTGAACAGTAATTACACACATGCACACACATGCGCACACACAAGTATAGGTGTATTAAAACACGTTAGCTTTATATCAGGTGCTCTAGCAATACGTAAAGATAAAATCAGAATAAGTGAATCAGCCTGCAGCTTCAGCAGGTCTGCTATCTACACGAGGTCGCTAGTACTAAATGGCACGACTTAGAATAGTCTTCCCAGATCTCTATCTACCCTCTGGCGCCACTGCTGACTTGCTCTGTGTAGCACCCAACTTTGGATTCTATCTGCCTCGACATTCACCCTTAAAAAAATGTAAAGTGACATGCTTTCTTGCAGGTCTAAGGAGGGGGCGGGAAAAGCTAAGGTATTTTATAACTATTATTTTAAAAAAAAAACAAATAACAGACAGGATCCATCCCTCAAATACACGTTTGTTAATTCTATCCACATAAATGCCAATTCAGCCCAAGAGTAAAATCACAGGAAATTCTCTGACTTAAGGGAGGTGCCTATTAACAGTCACAGGCATGTTCCTAGTTTTAGCCAGCCAAGTGAAGAACAGGAGGTTTTAGGGAATGCCTGGGACTTTGCCCTGAGTGATTTGTGTGTGGCTTCTATAAATTAAACTGTTGGGGTTATCTATGGATAACGGCAGGCAGAGTTTAGCCATAAACCTCCCAAGTAACTGTGACTTCCTAAGCCCCTTCTCTAACCAATATTTCTAAACTGTTTTCCTTGACTCACTGCCAATAAAATGGATGGAACGCTTTCAATTCTCTCTTTTTCTTTCTTGGTCATAGCTTCAGAACCCTAGCGCTGCTTTGATTCCCTTCAGTGGCAGATATTGGTGGCTGGAATCAAGGGCCAGGCCCCAGAAAAGTTTCACAGAGGGGACATACATAGGGCCAAATTGGACCCTCCGATTCACACCGTGTATCTCTGAGATGTGTGGTAAGTGTCCGAGGTACTGATAACACTGCAGCCAAGATGGTATGATAGAGCCAACACACCGTGCTCACACTGTTGAAAAGCCTCACACCAATCGGGCTGCAATGCATACTGCTCAGGTCATTAGTCTCCTGGGCGCTATGCATTTTAATTGCACATGCTGCAATTAAAAATCAGAATTAAAAAAATAAGTGATTGCATCCACTGTGTTTCCAGGTCATTGTCTATTATCTCTGCATTCTTTGACAAAAACATTTAAGAATCAGAATTGTAATATGGATGGAGTATTAGGGACTGTTTTCAAGTACCTTGTACTTGAAGAGAGGGAAACGCATCACCACCGATGAGAAAGCAATGGCTGGGGTACTGGCTGCACAACTTTAACAGGCGCCATTTATTCAGATCTCAATGTGAACAGTGTCCACTGGAGTTGTGCAATGAAGAAATCCTGCAAGGTCCCAGATATCCCTAGGTAAATCTTCCTAAAGAAAAACTGACTCAAATAAATTAGAAATGTCTATCTAAGAGATATAAGTTCCAGTTCTTCTGCTCTTGGGGTCTGACTTTTCTCATTGTAAACAAGGTTCCCGTGAGATCATCTCTAGTATCAACCCTAGCTCTTAAGCTCTGTAATTCTGAGTTAAGGCCAATTAATAAGCATCAAGTGATAGGACTGATGCAACTGTTCCCTGCTTTCAATCAGCAATTTGTGACTAGTGCCGTATTAGTGGAAACAAGAAGAAATTCCACATAATCCCCAGTTGCTTTGAAGGAGGCCTTTGGACTGTCTGACCAGTTTAGTTTCTTTCACAACTAATAAAAATATTGCACACGCAAAAAAAGAAAGACAGAATAGAATCATAAAGAAAGGAAAGTTGCATTAAATCAATATAGGCAGTATTTCAAAAATGATTTTATGAGCTTTGTTTTCTTCAAGCTGGAAACATACTCTTTGCGCTAAATAATGAAGTTTGTTTTAAATCAAACACAAACAAAGCAACATCCTTGACTTGGGGTTGTGCTATAAATATACATATTTGAAAACAATGTTTCTACAATGTTTTCTCAAACCATCTTTTACTTATCACCAGCCAAATTCTTTATTGAGCTTTACGTTCTGTCATTTGATTTATGATAGTAGTAAATATGCTGAAGATGCCTTGTTGAGTGTGTGACACTGCTCATGTCCCTCTCCACTCCTCTGGTCCAAGGTTCTCATACTAGATGGTGAGTCCCCTGTATCTACACTGGCCTCCTGAAACGGGAGCTGCGATTGGCTTCCTGATGAGAAACACCAGGTTTGTTCCATGCAAACAGATTTAGCAAACACTTTAAAGACTAGCAATCCAAGTGGCACTATGATTGCTTATAAGCCACAAGCTTTTGTGTTAGAAATATAAACAGAAGGGTGATTCTGAAAACTGTGTAAGTTATCCCAATTTCAAACACTAGGGGCTGGGCTAAGAGGCTGACTCAGGCTGGATACCCTACATGGTATTGGGCTCAATTAGATAAATGGAGTTTTACAATAGAATTTAACAAAATTATGATAGAAATTCAAAAACAAGGTGCAAAAACAAACACACACAGATACACACACACACACACACACACACAGACACACACAACATTCTATACCTGGGGACATCTGAGACAGAAAAGAGACCGTACAAAGTGAATAACATACTTTTTTTTCTAAAAGAGAATGGGCATGCGTTGTCTCAGCCTCTCGGGCTTTCTCTCCAAGGTGAAGCTTCACACTGAGCTGTCTTCCTGGGCATTTAAATGTTCTTCACCAGATGGAAAAAGTCAAGAACCACATGATTTCACTCACATGCAGGATCTAAAACTGAAAGCAAGAAACGAACAAGACAAACAAACAAACTCATAGATACAGAAAGCAGTATGGTGGTTACCAGAGGTAAAGGGGGAGGGGAGGGAGGTAGAAAAGGGTAGGGGGGAGTCAAATATTATATATGATGACAGAAGGAGATTAGACTTTGGGTGGCGAACACACGATGCAATATGCAGATGATGCAGTATAGAACTGTCCATTTGCAACCTATATAATTTAATTAACCAATGTCCCTCCCAGAAATTTAATACAATAAAACTTAAGACAATTTTAACTACAAAAAACAAATAAACAAAAATAGATACATAAATAAATATGTATGTATCCTTTACTGGTAGATGGGAAGAGATGTGGTTCTGCTAACTTTATTCTCATCTGTCTACTATTCCACTATACTGTGAGTCCCCTGAGGACGTACTTTTGTTCACCTTGGAGTCCCAGTGGCTATCATCTGGCATGGCACATAGTAAATGCTCAGTAAACATTTGTTCAACTACTGAATAAAAGAATTATTTTTTTCTTTCTTTCTTTCTTTATCATGACAAATGTCAAACACATTTATTGAGTATCTGCCAGAAGTTCTTCCTGGCACATAGCAGTACTCGATAAATGTGTATGTAAATCGTAGTGCAATTTCAATTGAAGATCAGCTTCTAGGGTGAGAAAAAAAGCTTAGATGAACTTGAACTCAGTCCTTAGACAAGCAGTCCCTTCTGTGTTCCCCGTGGGCACTGTGAGGAGTAAACTCCATGGCCTTGGCTACTTACTAGTGTTAGGAGACTGCCTCCCCTGGCCAGTACCTACTTAATCCACTATGGAAAATTTGATGCTTTAGTGACATCCAGTGAAGCTAAAAACTTAACATTTGTGGGTAAAAAAAAGAAAAAAATAGAAATTAAGATTTACCCTTTCTTTTGTAGGAAAAAACGATAGATAAATGATGATAGATAGATAGATGATAGATAGACAGATAGATAGATGATAGATATAGATAGATAAATAGATAGATGATCGATAGATAGGTAGATAGATAGATAGATAATAGGTAGATAGATAGCTTCCTTTACCTTTTCTTCTAGAACAGAAATTATTAGCATTGTTCTTATGATTTACCTTCACTGCCTCTAGAGAGTTTTCTAAAAATATACATCTGCTCTCTTCACCCCAGGCTTAAAATATTCCCAAATGCCTTCCGCATAAAGTCTAGGTTCACAATATGACTTACTGAAAGCTTGATGATCTGGGCCTCTGCTTATTCTGAAAGCTTATGCCCTAGCACTCTTCTCAATAGTAACCACTACTACCCCCAAATAAGTCTGTAATACACATTTCTTTCTACCTCTTGTCCTCTCTATATGATAATGTCCCTCTCTCCCCTCCCCACAAAATCATATCTTACACACACACACACACCCTTCACCAGGCTAACTTCTATTCATCCTTTTAATTAGCTCAGGAATCATTCTTCCAAAAAGACTTACAAATCCTCATCCATCACTCCCTCCTATACTCTGGGTTGGGTGTCCCTCTTAGATAAAACCTGTACTATCTTAGCTCATTTGTCTACTCACCCCTTCCTCAATAATCTATAAGTCTTGGAAGGCAGGGCCTGAGTCTTAATGTCTTTGGATCCCTCGCATCCAGTATCATGCTTATCATTATAGTCAAAACAATAAAAATTAATAAAATAAATAAACAAATGGATCCATGCTCTTTTTTTAAAAAAAAATATTATTTGTTTATACTTCTTCCCAATAGAGTCTGCATGGATTACTTATTGAACCTATTAACTCAATGCATAAAACCAAACAAAGCAACCAGGGACGAGCAGATTGCAGATGGGTTGGTCGTAGACTGTTTTTGGTGGACTTGCTATGGATAAGAATTTAAACTGGAAACTGAGTAAATATATACGTTATCGTGCATGCTCATTGCACCCACCCCAAGAAGTTTTCTCCTTCTCCAGTCTCCTTTTTAGGTCATGTGTATTCTTATTGCCATTTTTCATAAGAGTGCTGTGGGAGATGGGATGGTTTTGCTTGGAACTGGATTGTGAGAAGACATGACAAAGTGTCAAGCATATATCCCAGTGTCTGCATGGCTGTGGCAGACAACATAAGAAACTAAGAAACAGACTGAGGGCCGGCTGAGTGGCTCAGTTGGTTAAGAGCTCGCTCAACAGTGCAAGTTCTGAGGAACAGTGGTTCGAGTCCCGGCCCGAGCTGAGCTGCCGCTGAGCTGCCAACAGGTGGCAGGATGACTCAGCTAAAAGAAAAAAAAAAAAAAAAAGAAAAGAAACAGACTGAGCACTATTCACTCACAACTGCTTAATGGCTCTTCCTGGACTATGAATTTACTAATTTGCTGGCATACTTGGGAGCTGTTGTCACTAGAAAATATCACTCTGATTAGAAATACCCATAGACAGCCCTCTGTACTCTACAGGTGAGCACAGTCAGCTTCATGCATGAGTAGAGAGACAGTGAGATGCTCAGCCTATTTTATGCAAGGTAAATGAACACTACCATGTTACCAATTTCTCTGACTCACTCAATTCCACAAAAAGTGATCAAGCTAGTAACTTGGTGGCTTCATGTGCTGCAGGTGAGGACATACTCCAAATGAAAATGCAAAAGGATCCTTAGAGTTCATTGTCAGTATAATATATAATTTAGTGTAACACTATACTCTTACTTAAAGAAAGGTGTGCTAATGGAATGTTTTCTCTACCTTCTCCCAAGTGCATTTATAAAACATTTTACTTCCCGCTACCTTAATTTTGATAGTCTGCTTTATCAACTTTAAGTTACTTAAGAGCTAGAAGTGGTTAAGTGGATAAATGCAGGGTCACATCTGTCAAATTCCTCAGTTATCTGAGAGAGGAATTAGCTGTCTAGCCTATTTGCACAACTCACATTAAGATTTCCATTGGGGAAAAGCCCTCATAATTTTTAAACTGAGCACTTTTAAATTGCATCTATACATCTTCCTTGCATGAATGGATATCTGGCTTCATATCTAGCGATGCTTGCTACAATGCCTCCTCATAAAATTAAGCAACTGTACAATCAATTAAACTTTTTCAAAGGCAGCATGACGGGGCTCTCCTTGGATGCCACACTGTGACTGATTTGTTTAGGGACTACTC